GCTACTTGGAGGGGGCTGAGCAAGGACTGATGGTGTCAGGAAATAGGGACCAAAAAAACCCAACTCACTTGTTTAGCAGATGTAAACCACCTTCATCGTGGTTTAACTTGAGCAATCAACCAAGACACTGAGTGACAGCACAAATACACGGCTCTGAAGTAACATAGCCAGCCCCTTTGGTTTTTCCCAGCTGCTCCTTACCCACAGACCACCACCCACACACCTCACTTTACTTCATGTACCTTTTAACCTTATGGCTTCACTATAATTTCCAAAAGACACTGCCTTCTCACAGAAACAGAGGCTGGCCCATATTCCTTGCATTTATTTATTCAGAAATATCTATCCACTTGACCACACAGGCACCTGTTGCTGTAGGAACTTCAGCAGTGGCATCTGAGCCTCAGCTCTACAGCCTTCCCTTCCTACCCTGCACAGAAACACCAGGGCTGTACTAAAGCCAGCCACGAGAAGCAGACCATGGGCTGGCTCTCCGACAGTCCTGCCATACCAGCAGCTCTCTGGAGACAGAAGAAAAGTGCAGAGCCTTGCAGTCCACACATTGAAAGTGAGAGGTCTTCTGCAGCCAACAGAAATTTCTCACAGTCTAAAGTCTAATACACTTTCAACTTGAACTGCCATTAAAAAAACCTCAGAGTCATTCTGCAATCAAACAGCTTTTATTGAACTCTTTATACTGCATATTTGTGAACATTTGTGCAATAAATACAGCGCATAGTATTGATTTTTCCCAGCTCCTTAAAGCATAAGAAGTCTTCCCTTTGTCATGGTAGCATGCTGACACTACACAGTAAGAATGGCTGTTGGATGACAGTGGCAATGCTAGGCAGCTCCTGGCAGTGAGCATGTTGTGTGAAATTCGTAATGGCAAGCAGAAGTTTTCAGAAACCATTTAGCGATGAGGTTGGTGGGCAGGTGAGACTGGTCTGGCTGCTTAGAGGAACCTCAGCTAGACAGAGTTCTGGAGTCAGCCACAGCTTGTGCAAGAAGTGGGAAATAACAGTGGGCACGATGACTTCAAAATAATCCCCAAGTCATTGCTTGATAACTGCTGGCAAAATATTATACAGATTTTACTGGATAATTGTCTTCAGGTGAGAAAATAAAAGTCTTTTTGCAGACCCAACACTGAACCAAAAGGACTGATACTCTCTTACAGTGACAAACAAATACAGCATAAATTGTTGATATAAATATCCATATGCAAAATAGTTTTCAGGCTTAGTCAGCACTTGCATAACCAGCGCAGGTAAACAGAAGATGCAGGCACCCACTTCAGGAAAAAATGGAGTTCTCTTCAAGCTCTGGACTTGAACTTCAGGTTAAAGACCAAATAAACTGCAATGTCTTTCTTGGTCCTCACAGTATTTGAAACAAAGAGAATAGGCCAGCATTAATCCAGCCCTACCACTACTAACCAGGACCAGGCTCGTAACAACATTCTCTCACACATAAAAAAGCATCAGGCTCATAAGCTTTTGCATCAGAGGAACCTCAACCCTGCAAGATTCCCTGTTCCCTTCTCTTTGCTGCCTTCATCCCTGCTATGGGAATGAGCTCTGGAAAGTTTTTCAGTCATTCAGCAACTCCATTTATTTACCCAATTCCTCTGGTCAAACAGGGTTTCTACGGTGAATAGGAGTGGCTGGTGGCCGCCTGTTCCTCCTTGTGCCAGTGTACAACAGGAGATGGCACCTGCTCCTAAACTGCACAGGCAGAGCAGCACAGGTGGATTTTTTTGGATACTTTGGCTTACTTGGATTGCTTTAGATTCACATCCCCTCTTGCCTACGAGCACTAACGACTCCTTCTTTCTTAGTCAGCAATACTACCTGTTTTCATGATGTTACAGAGATTAATGAACAGTAAACTAAAAAAAAAAAGGCAACAAACCCCAAATTAAAAGCTTTACGTTTTTCTCTGTGTCACAGGTAAAGATATCCATTAATCTTCTGCTGCCCCAATTCTAACTTCTCTCTTGTACTGCTGTTCTGAAAAGCAACTTTGGGAACTTCCCTCTATCCTCCTCATATTTCTTGCCGAATTCAGTTAGGCTGGTATATGGAGCTTTTATAAGCACAAAAACAAAAGGAAAAAAAAAACCCAACTACTTAAGCAACCCCCTCCCTGCTGCTGTCAGTGAAGATCAGATGGAAAATGGGGAAAAAATTAGATAAAAGCAAGTAAAGTAAATTTTCAAGAGCAACAGTAATGCCAACATTTAGCAGCAGTGATGGCTATGATAGCAGCAAACACTTCCGTTCATAGCACCTCGTGAAATACACAGGTTTTTACAAGTATGGGAATCAAAGGATGCAGTGAAAACATAAGTAATCAAAGAAATAAGTCTCTCTCAGCCTTCCCTGTGACATAAGGATATGGAAATATATCTGACAACAGTATTTGAAATAATTGGGAAAGGACTTGAGAAGCTTGGCTGAAATACTAATGTCTCAAGGGGTACAACTGACCATCCACAGACTCCCTCTACACTAAGAAACAACAAGGATGTTAAAAGCGCTAAGATCAAAGGCCATGCCCTTAAATGTGCTGTTATTTATGACCCCTTGGGAGGCAGCTCAAAAATACAGTTTGAAAGATGAGTTATTAGGCTCTGCCAAGCAACAACAGAGGTAAGACAGAGCTGTTCTACCTAGTAAAGCTAATACAGATTTGAAAACAGGGTCTTTTAACACACAGGTACACACATCTGATACACTAGTTCATCTTGCCACTAGTGAGAGCACCCAAGCTGGGGTTGCTACTACAGCAAGGGGGAACAGTGAGAAAGGAATCATTGCACAGCATAAAGGTAAAAAAAAAAAAAAAAAATTAAAAAATCAACCATACTTTAGAACCAATTATTATTGAAGTTGCACATTTTTAGACTTTATAGCAGTTTATTCCAGAGCCTTGGGAAAAGTTGTCTTAAATCTTAGGGAAGTATATGAATTTAATGGTTAAATCATAGCTTAAGGTAAGCATGGTTCAAAGTCATAAGCCCTAATCTGAAGGGACAGCCAATGTCTAAGGAAATATACTGAACAAGGGCAGAATAAACTTAGCATTCACCAGCATGGCATTAAAGAGTTATCAGAAATCATTCTGAGGCTTTTTATCATTACAACAAAGTTCTTAACATTCACAAATTTAAGGTGAGAGAGAAGCAGCTAGAAAAGAAAACACGTGGTCACACTGCTGACAGGCAGACGCTATCACTGGTGTCACTTCTTTGGCTTTGAGCTCGTCTCCCTTTGGCCACCTCCCTGCTCCAGGCCAGCATCGCCCAAGGCACAACTGCAAACGCTCTGCTTGGCATTTGCTCAGCACTCACATGGGGCAGGGTGGCTTCCACCACCTCTCTCCTCTGAGCACGCACTTCCAAAATGTACAGCAAATTCCACTGCTACAGGGAGGCCAGCAAGGTAGGAAGAAATCTATATACAGGACGTACTAACTTTGATTTTTAAATAACCCTTTTGTTTTCTCTTGGCTGACTCACAACTCCCTTCAGCTTTATTTAAAAAAAAAAAAACAAAAAACAAAAAAACCCAAAACAAACAAAAACCCAATCACACAATTTTGCTATCCTACTAGTAATAGCCCCAGCCTAAATAGCATTTCTATACTTCAGTGGAAAGAGAGACAAGCTAAGAAAACTGTCACTCTTGCTGATCAAAAACTTTATTCTTGGCAAAAGGCCAGTCAGAAGATGAGTAGAGCAGCCTCTATGAAGATGAAGAACAGCTACTTTTCTCCTGTAACCACAGGGTGATTCCATTCATCGTTACCACTAAGAGCACAGCAGTGTACAGATGGGGCTGCTAGTGCTACACTGTACCATGGCTATGAGAGTCAAACCTTACTAAAGAATCCAGTTACAGAAGTGGTGAAAAATTGTAGCTGCGCACACTGACCGCACGTTACTCTGGTACTCCTGGCAGTACCAGTCCACACCATGTTTGCCAGTTCCTTCCAAGCTTAGTTACAGTGAATTCAATTAGCAGTAGAATTTTTCACCTGGAATAAGGCACTACAGTGTGAGAGCACTTGAGGAGTTTACGGCTCTTGACAGATTACCTTTGGCTCTTCTAAAACATGCATAAAAAGAAGCACTTTAAGATAAATAAGAGGGTGGTGAGGTAAGGGGAAGGTACTAGATGAAACAGCATGATTTAAAAAAAAAAAAAAACAAACACCAACAAACCTTCAGGCAAGAAGCTTGATCTTACCTTTTAATCTTTTCACTTGTGCTTACTTCTCAGGGTACAATTGGGAAAAAACCCACCAAGGTCTGTCTTCGTAGTGAAAGCCAGTGCACTGTGTAGAGCAGAGTCACCAGTGTATGTTTGTCACTTCACCATCAGGCTTTCACTAAGTCAGTTTTTCCTCAGAGCAGCTGGTTAAACAAGCTTCAACTCCAGCCCTCAAGATTTCCTCCTCATTTATACTGATGTGACCAAAAGGGAAGCCCCCTTTCTTCTCTCCACATCAGTCTCATTTTTATCTCCACAAAGGTATTACCTAACTTAACCTTGCACACACAAAAAAAAAAAAAATCCAAAACTTTCCAGAGCTCTCTTGGGCCTCTGCTTCAGTAACTCTTTATTTCAACACATTCTATGTATCTGAAACAATGTTTTGGAAAGTCAGACTTTAGACACAACAAGTAAGGAACATACCAGTTAATTTAGGCAATATTTTTACATATATATATAGGTAAAAAAAATAAATTGTCTTGATAAGAAATATCACATAACCTGATTAAGAAACAGGTTGCCAGAAGCTGTGCAATGCAGCAAAATGCACAGGCTGTATAGCTGACACCAGAATAGCTAACTGCTTATTTTCAGAATTTAAAAAAAAAACAACCAAAAAACCCAAACAAAACCAACACCCTAAGGACAGACCATTCTACCTAAGAAATAAACCTGATTCTTTGTTGTAGATTGTAAAATGTTGTTGAAGAGGCTCCACATTGCTACTTGACTTTAGCTGGACTTTCTTTCCCGTTCTCGCGCAGTCACAAAGTTAAGCAGATCAATGGCTGTAACGATGCCAAACACCATTTGCCGCTTACTGGAGGAACCATCACTGTGATCTACAGAGAAACAAAAGAGGGAATTCTGGCTTTAGGAGGCACAAGCCCACACCATCCCACCGGGTTTTAATAGCACTGTTGGCAAAGGCAGGTGCCAAGCTAACCCAGCTCCACATGTCAGGGCCTGTTGGCGGAGCTGGTTACCGACGATGACCCTTGTATGTTGAGGGGGAACCTAAATGGCATCTTGACCAACAGTCACACAGGAAGTGGCAAGGATTTTCCTTTCAGAAAGGCTCCTCACCAAAAGGGATATAGAAACAGAAACATTATGGAAAGAAGGGTAAGGGTCCATCAGATTTATTTTTCTTAACATGAAAATTCAAACTAAATCCTCTGTTATAAAATGTATTTTCCTCATATATTAGTTTCTGTGGCGCTAGTTGAAGCGGCTGCAAATTGATATTATCCTGTTTGAACCAGGGACCACTAGAGGAGGACGTGCAACACCACCATCTTCCTACATCACTGTCAAATACAGAATTAGTATAAAAAAAAGTCATAACACAACATTTCCCCATTTATATCCAAAAAAAACTTTTTCACCATCTAATCATTGCTGTATTAAGAGCACGGCTTCAAGTGATTTTTCATTGTAAGCATAAAGCCTTTGACCTGGGAACCAAGTGGCCAAGTGACCTCTGGGCCTTTATCTGTGCTCTAAGTTCCCTGTTCCTAAAGTCTGGCTGTATGGAGATGTTTAGACTACCTATATACCCAGTTTGTTCAGCCAGCTGGATTGTTCTGGACTTTACATTTACTCAAACTTTGTTCCATTGTAAGCTTCCAGTGAGATTCTAGGTTTATAACCAGTCAGCACAGAGTCAAGAGCACATCCTTATGGAGATTATCACGAACAAGCCCAAATTTGATGACTGTTCTTCACTTACAGTTATAATTGAGATAGCTGTCAGATAAGTTTATCTGGCAAGTCTTAATATTGTTTTTAGTCTAATTTCTCAGTGTTTGTAATTTTGCAAGTTGCTTGCTATGAGGAAGATAAACCAGGAAAAAAATATTATTCACATATAATAGTGATATAATCTAGCTTTGAAGATTTATTTAGTGATTTCCAGTTCATAATAAGGCAGCGTAGAGAGTTTTGGGAAGAATGACGAAGAGCAGAGTTTGGAGGAAAAACATCAAGTGGAGTAAGTTAGTTTAAACCAAATAAACGGGAAAAAGAAATATTAAGCTGTCTTGAGATGGTGATGTCAGTGTTGCATCTAGATCTTACTAAACTTTATGAAGTTGTAATAAAGGTTTTGCTTTAGAAAGGCAAAGAAATTGAAGTGTAGTTAACCTGGGACACTCACTGTGATGGAACTGCTGGAAGTTGTATGACAGGGGTAGGAAGAAGCAAAGACCAGTTGTACTGCAGGACCTTATTCATTGGCTTACTGCTAGTAACAAAACTGCTGTACAACGGACTAGACTCAAGCATTCAGTTCTGAGCAGTAACTTGCTCCAAAGGCAGATACTTTACAGTATGTGAGGTTATTAATGGATTTAACATTTACCCCACAAGAATTAGTGCTAGAGTCTTACCAAGAGTTACATAGTTACAAACACAAAAAGAGGATTTGGCTTCTTCAGAACTTGTTTACACACTCACGCTGGTACTTGCTTCTTGTTACAATGCAAAGATTGCCTCTTACAAAGGCACAGTACATCATACTCACACTGAATTTGTTCATGAACCACTAGAGCAAAGTGGTCTATTTCCAGGATATGAGAGAGTTTCCCCAAGTTGTCTTTCAGGTTAATCTGAGGAGAGAGTTACAAAACTTAAACAAAACGTCCTTTATACGTTTAGTGGTGGATAATCCCCATATACCTCATGCAGTATTAAAAACAATACATCAGCATTTACATACTGCTCCCATCTGAAGCATTGTAAAGCACTAATAAATCAAGGCCAACTTAAAAGATTAGAGTTTTCTTTGTTTCTAATTTCCAAGGAAACAGAACAAATGAAGCACTGTATGAAGTTATTAATTCTGATTCTGAAAACATAACGAAGATACCGAATACCTGAAAAAATGTTAATGATGGAAGAAGGTCCAGTGTTCCATGTGTCTAACAAAGAAGTTAGCATAAAACTCATTATACTCGGTGATTTTATTCTAGCAAGACCAGGAAAAAGTGAATGAATGAGGCTGCAAATCACTGTGAAAATGAATACGATCTGCAAAGGCAGCAGGGGAAGAGAAAAGCCCAAACAGGCCAAAAACAAAACCAAGGGTGAGGTTTGCTCAGCTAACACTGTTTCAGGTGCAAATCAAGGAACTGAGAATTAAGAATTCATTTTTAGTGAAGTTCAACTTTGCTAAGACTAAACAACAAAGCACCCTGGGTTGACTCTGCAGAAAGAATACAGATCCTTCCGAAACACTTAGCTAGTCACCGGCTGGAACCATTTCAAAGAATACGTAAAACCATTCTTCCTACATGCTTTAGCATATTAGGCAGCAGCAACAGGCCTATTACCTGGGTGACTCTCCCCAGGTAACAGGAGCACCCACCATCTGACGTACTTTCATTAAAGGTATTTATGGCAAAGAAGTGTCTTGCACTGCAGATTAAAAAAGCCTTTATCCTGCAGTGAGCTCAGCTTGTGACCGAGGAATAAAAGCCATAGCATGAACAGTTGGGTTGCACTGGAACACGGAGCTCTGGTCTCCATATTGTGAGTTAAAAGAGCTCAAAAAGATTCCCAGCAGCCTGTGTTTAAGGGACCAGCAGGCTATAGTGCATGCTGAAGCATCAATCCTTAAGCTTGTGCGTCAGGCAAGCGGTGAGGGGAAATCCGGACCTACTGCGACATCGAGTCACCTATCAGTCACCACCACCGACAAGCAGTTTTGTGCAAATGTACGTGCAAACCTAACTTTTGGACTTAAGTTCAAAGCTCACTGAAGGGGTAGATCCTGTTGCCATCTGATTGCGTACAATCAATAGATCTGTTTTCAGGGACTGGGTAGGCTAAAGATGACCAGGACAAGCAGCCCACAGGCAGCACTGGGACAACTATGAAGACATAAACATGTTTTGAAATGCTTAATGGAAATTTAACAGAACTCCCACGGAGTTTTCACCTGTCTCACTACCGCTCATTCAAGCTTCCTAAAAATTTTGTCCATGAGTTTTCCCCCATTCAGGCTTTTTTTTTTTAAAGCCTATTCAGTCTTTAAGGCAGCTAGCCTTTGTACATGCTACTACACTACACCTAACTGGGACTGCTCATTTGGCTCTAAGGGCAAGTGACATGGCTCTGCTCATGGCCCTACAACCAAGTGCTCTCCTTCATCAGAAGCAGGCTCTGGTCCACCGGGGATGCTGGGGACAGCAGGCCTCGTATTGTTTAGCAGAGTGCTACATGGTTTAGGACACTAACCAAAAATCACACCAGGGAACAGGATAACACTAGGTATAGTAATGGGAAAGTGCCAGAGACCATGCCCCAGCCCTATTTTCTGGGAAAGGCAGACAAGAAATGTGCTAAGGCTACGTCTGCACCACATATAATGGAAATTAGTAGTTGATCCTTTGGCGAAGAGATCTCGAACTACTGGAACTAACATCTGACTCAAGAATGGTCCTCCGCTCCGCTAACACACAGCACTTGCTTGGCTTGGCAAATTATCCTGTGAATAGTGTTTCAAAGCCCTAGATTGCTATCCTACCGGTGACTTTAAAAATAACTATAACCATTACTTTTCCATTCTGAGAGATTGCCACAAAATAATTGTGACAATCACATCAAAGAAAGCTTCCTGTATTACCAAAAGAAAGCTTTGCCTTGGTAGTCACAGGCTAAGCTGACCTCTTGTTGATGCATGCTGTAGTACAGATCCTAACTGTAGGATATCCTAAGTCATTTCAGTGACACAGATGATCCGTTTTCCCGGTTTTCATCGGTAAATAAGCCAAATAAGCTTGACTAAAGTGGTAAGAAAAGCAAAATCCACAATACTTCTGAGCTTATGTGCATTTAACCATGTTTCTCCATTAAATCATCAATTCAAATGAAAAATAGTCAATGAATGTTGCCTTCAGTTAGCCTGTTAGTAATACCACCACTTGTGTTGCTCCCCTTCTATCCTCCACCAAGAAAAAAAAAGTCAGAACTAAAGAGAAAAGAAACGGTTAAGCTGTTCTTCACTGAAGAAGCACGAGAAACTTCAAGCTGCCCATGGAAAAAAGCCACAACCTCAGAAGCACAGAGAATTGGCTACTACAGCTAACACCAGTGTAGCTACAGAAATGATTGCACACCACCAGCCCCAGAAACTCTTAAGGTGTCCAAGTGAGGGAGGACATGAACCAAGTAGTTTTGTTACGCACCACATTTCCACCTGATGCTTGATTATCTGTCTGGGAAGGAGAAAATACATTTACATTTATCTGTTAAGAACTATCATCCTTTCTCAACCTCGGGGACTTGGTAGTTTGTAGACTGAATGGCAGCATTACACGCACTTCTGGAATACAGCACCTCATCTACTATGAGACAGTGTTGAAACTAACAGCTTGATGAAAGCTAAGTTAAGCATTCCACATTAAAACCAAAATCATTTTCCTGCAAGTGAAGCAAAGCAACAGCAACAATACTTGTATATTGTTCCCAGCACCCATACAGCTGGGAAGTTCTGGTATTTTAGCACACCACATTGCATGGGCAGGTGAAACTGGCTAACATCAAATTTCACATATCTTGACAAAATCAGCATTCAGCAGCCACCCCCTTGTTTCAGCAAGGCATCTGATGCAAAAGGCAAACAGTTGCTTGTTTGTAGCTGAGACAGAAATTTAGAAGAGCTGTTTCAACATCTCCTTGTCTCTTCCCCTGGAGATTCACATTGCCAAGATTTGTGCTGGGATTTTGGAGAAGGAGAAAAAGGACAAGCATGCTAGAAGAAAGCCTGTTGAAGTAATGGAACAGCACAATATAGAGGCACAATACAAACCTGGGAGATATTGAGTGACCTAGGACAGAGTTTAGAGCACATCTGTCCTCAATAACAACTGCTCTGCATGGTCCCAGGTAAACCTTACCCAACCAGATGCCATTGTAGTGTTAGGACACCTACAATAGTACTTTAAACCAGAGAACCAGAAATTGTAGAATGTATCTGCTTACCTGTTTAAATTGCTTGTATATTACTTTTCTGACTTCATCAGAAGGCTGAACTTTTCCAGCAAGCAGCGAAGAAAGCATGTTACCCAGAGTAACCATGCCTAAAATCACCCTGGAAGAAGGAGAGAGAGGAGATAAGGCTACACACCACAAAAGCCTCAGGTATTCCTGTAGATAAAAGCATCCACTCTCAGCCAGCCTGGAGAAGACAGTTCAGCTGCTTCATCGTGTAAAGCAACATTATTCATGGTATACTTGGATTCTCTGCTTCTGCAGGAGATAGAGTCAGAAGTTCTGGAGACTCACACCGAAGTCAGCAGGTGTGTGGGTTCCTGGCCCTTCTGAGCATCAGGCTCTCTGTATCTCTAGTTCTTGCAACTGGAGATCTTCTTGCAATTTTGAAAAGCGTAACTTTGTTGTTTTACACTCTCAGCTGTCCTTTTGAAAGGTGTGATAGGGTCAGAGACATGCTTGCATCAATTTTGCTCATTCCCCTTCTCCTTGCAAGGATGTTGCAAGGACCTGCAACAAGTAATCCCTTGCGGTGGCACTGTAACTGGAGAGTAACCCAGCAACTCTTCATTATTCAGCCTGTCCTACAGGAGACTTACAGGGTACTAAGGCTTGCCAGCTTGCTGGGGACACCCTGGTTTACAGGGGTCACTACAACATTGCACTATAATGCAGCATTCTGAAAAAACTGGGTGAAAGCTGTGGTGGAGATGGGTAGGTTTGGGGTTGTTTTTTTAAATATGAAATTTTGTTTTGGTAAGTCAAACAGGTATTATAAAAAAAACAGTGAAAATATCTTGCAGAGACACACTGAGTAAGTATATCATAATAATCACTAGAAGCTTTTTATGTGAAGGACAGGACAGTCCTGGCATGACAGCATATTAAGTACAGCACTGGTGTATTTAAGGTAACATTTCTGAACTGTGTTACTGTAACTGAAGAAAGATGAGTGAGAGAATATTATAATTCTAGTAAGCATTTCAAAGACATCCCTTGGGACCTGGTGAGGTAAGTGATACATATGGATGAATAGTGATATATGTGGACATACCCAGATTCATCAACAACTGGTACCTGGTCGAATCCCTTCTCCCGGAGAATTTCAACAGTCTTTGCACAGGTAACAGTTGGAAGCACAGTCAGGGGAGCAGAGAGGCTTAGTTCCTGAACACTGATGTTCCACCACCTGGGGACGAAATAAAAACCAAGTCTTATGGCAAGAATGAAACCAGTTGCTCATGTACAGTGGCCCTCAACACTACAGGAATGACAAAAAGCTGCAAAGAAGAGTTAGGATTCAGCCAGAGTCAGTAAAGCTCCAAGGCTTTCAAGTTTTCTCCCCAGTATCAGAAAGTCAGTGAAGCATGAGAAGGCTTTAAGACTGCAACTGTCTTCCTCATTTCATCTACTTTCTGATATTACAGATAGTTAGTGGAGAGTACTAACCTCCCTAGTTTCATTATTTATATCTTACACAGAACATTTTGGGCTCATACTGAAAGAGCTAGCCATATTTACAGTCATTATAGGTAACAATTTAGGGAAGATTCCCCCTCCACTTATGTAGACTTGCAGTGCTTTGCACGTGAGAACTCTGATCTCAGAAGAGTTCTTTAGATACTACTTTCTCATTTCAGATACAACCCTTTTCACAAAACCCAAATCATTAAGTACCAAGTTTTCTTCTACTGCTATGCAACTCAAAAGGAAATCAATCAATTTAAGCAGATTTGATTAATAGCTGCAATTTTACATCAACACAATAACATGAAAGATTAGCTAAATCAAAGCAAGTAGTGCAAATTGAAAAGAGTTTTAAATTAGCAACTGCCATAAAGACGATTGAATAGACTTATGAACATCCAAACTGATCTGATATGCTTACCAAGGTTTTTTGACAAGGTCTTCTTCTTTCATGAACCCTTTCTGAATCATCCATTTGTCACTCAAGAACTTGGACCTGGAAAGCATCAGGAAGCGAAGAGCTCATTAGCAGGCTGAACATCTGACAACAAATCTAATAGCGTGCAGAGGCAACTGTTTACAGCTCAGTACCACTAACAATTAAAGCGTAATTGAAAATATACTGCCATTTGCCATCCAAGCTGACCAGCCACGGACATTGAGAGGAAATATGCATAGAAAGAAAAAGGAATCCCATAGGAAGCAAAGCTTCAACTACGTCAGTCCCTTGCAATACAATAGTGAAACAGCCTGGAATGAAGAAGTGCCAGCCTGTACTCAGGCAAGGTCTGTCTGCAGTTTCTAGTCATCTAGTATCACGTTGGATGCAACAGAAGTCACGAAACACATTCCAAAACACGATGTTTCTCGCTATGTTTCAATGCAGTAGGAGAAAAACAACTTCTCAGCACAGCTGAAGGCCCTCACACTTCCACCTCTGAACTCACCTCAACATTGGCTCCTGTCACAGTAGTGCTGTGGTCTGCTGTGGACACAGGCAGAGAGAGCAGACAGCCTCACAGGGACCCTTCCAGGAATGGGATAATACCAATGGTCCCCAATAAATAAAACAGTGAAAGCAAGTCTCTTCCTGTCAGAGATGCTAACCAGCGATGGTAATATACTGTCAGACACAAGGAGGAGCTCAGCTTTCAGAGGGCTAAGCTCCTTTCTACTCCATGTCAGACCCTTTCTGGATACCTCAGAAGTTGTACCCCAAACACATTCTTTGCTTTGGTAACTGGGTGCTATACAAGAAACATGCATTCAACTCGACACTGCTGTCAGGAGGTCTGAGGGACTGCCTCATCCTTTTACCAGAGAGAAAACAAGCAGGTTCTTACATGTAGTTCCTGATAGAGTCAGGGAGGATAACAACACAGCGCTGACCTTCCTTCAGCTCTTTGGCTGCCTTCACAGCTGCAGACATGGCACTGCCTGAGCTGCCACCTGCCAAAATGCAGATCAGGGGCAAAACTGTCAAACCATAAGTGAAATGAGAAAAAATGAAAGAGGAAGGAGGAGAGACAGTAGAGGAGCCCAGGGTGAGGAAGAGAGCTTCTGAAGCAGCAGGAGGTCTCCTTGACCCGCAGAAGGCTTCAGCCTCCCACATACTATTTCACAGAAACCCAAAGGATTCGCATCTGCTCTTACCACACAGCAGTCCTTCCTCTCGGATCAGCATGCGTGCTAAAGCAAACGATTCTTCATCGTTGCTCTTGTACCACTGGTCCACTGCCTGGTAAGGGGCAGGAAGACAGAAACAAGGGTCTATTTAAATGAAGAGAGCTAGGAGAGCTACACAACTAGTGTGAATTCAGCCCATGCTCTTAGAGGTAACAGCTGCCCTACTGAGCCATGTGTCTGGGTTTCCATCCTTCAAATGCCAAGTGTTGGTTTGGGTTTTTTTGCCAAGGTAAGACGATCACATTAGCACGACAGACTCCTTATTGAAACCTCACTGTGAGAGCCACAGAGAGCATCAAACAGTTCCCTCCCCTCTTGGAGGTCTTCCCAGAGACATAGGTTCTGCTCTGGACATAGTCATACCACTTTTGGCCAAGAGGGGTTGGAGTGCTTTGTTTGTTTTTTATTTAAAAAAACCCAAACTAACAAACAAAAAAAAAAACCAAATCGCAAAACCCCGTAAGTACAGTATTCTAGGAAAAATGTCCCAGCATTTCCACCCAGCATTACAAAACAAACATGGCAAGTGCAAAAGCCTCTGAGAACTGCTTTTGCTGATGGAAAGAAACAGAATAGTTCTGTCTGCTAGTCCTCCCCTTTCAGCTCAAAGAAATACTTCCACAAGTTTTTCTTCCACCTTTCACCTCACTTCTGCATCCCAACAGACAGCAAAGGGCAGTAAACCAAGAAGCATGACTTACAGATCTATCCAACACTGTGGGGACAAAATCATATCCAATTCCTTCCACTTCATACATTGTCTTGTCAGTCTTGTTCAGTTCTTCTGGTGTAGCAAGGATGGAGCCTTCAGGATCAACACCTATAATCTGGAGAAGCAGTTTTCACTTTGGCTACCATGACACACCACTTTTGAGAACACAGCTATTTACTCATGAGCGCTGGCCTCGTTACAGCTGTTGGTGTCACACTGGCTGCACACACAGCCAAGCTAACAGCAACCTAGTCTCTTATTCATTTCTTCCTGGCAACATTCACCTCCCTTGTGAGTAAAATACTTTGCTGCTTATGGCCCCTTGGCAACCCATCCTGTCTCCTCAGGCTGTGGATTTAGGGGCACCACTCGTTCTACATGGGTTTTGTTTGATTTAAACAAAAGACAGGGTTTCCCTGAGACAAGATCATCCTCATTCACATCAGGCATCATGACAGCCAATATTTTTTGTGCCAAGCGTAAGCAGATAAGTTTTACTTTGTTTACCACTCCCTGCCTATGTAGGAAAATATTCACATTGATACACGATACCGACTTCCGTGAGGAAATCTAACACAGCACACAAGGAGACACACAGGTTGGTGTGTGCAGAGAAAACTTCACTTGGTAAAACCTCAGTGGCTCCAGACAAGTTAGTGAAGGCACAGTCAGAGAGGAAACAGAAGGCTGCAGTACACATCAGAGAAGGAATTTTCTCAGACACCCTATGAAGGGATCTGAGGGCCAGTTTTCAACTGCTGAGGCAAACCTAAACTCTGGTCACCAGGGAGACCAGAACACGATGATTTCAGACAGTCTGAAAAACTTTCTTTGCTGCTTAGAACTACCTTCTGAGAACATCCAAGAGCTTCTGATAGAAACCCAGGGCAGGCTTGCAAGGAATGGGACGTGCCAAGTGGAGCAGACTGAGATTCACCCCACTGAAGAGAAATGCTTTAGGCTTGCCACTTACTTTGCAACCTGGACACTTCTCCTTTAGCTTTCTGGAGATGCCAGTGATAGTACCTCCTGTGCCAGCCGTAGCCACCAGCATGTCTATTTTTCCTGTTTAAAGGCAAGAGATAGAAGACAGTTGTGAAATCTCCCCACTTAAACCTAATTATGGACTTTATTTAACAAAAATGGGCAAGGTAAGGCTCTTTGCTTCCCAAGAGCTGTGTTAGGAGACCTACCTTGAGACCACCTTGCTCAATTCCCATTTACTTCAACAATGGTGGCCTATACAGCTGACACCTGTAGGTTTCCTATTTCTGTATTTGCCAACGTAGATAATTCATTCTTTAACTTAGAATGAGCAGCCTGTTATATTAGTTAATTTCTTGATTGAGTGCCAAGAGAGGTGTCCACTGAGAGAACTGTTAAACACAACTACTCTCTCATTTTCACGTGAAACATACTATTTTGGCCATGAGCACTCAGAGTGAGCGCAGGTATGTGTGGTGGGTTGACCCTGGCTG